GGGGGGGGGGACAAAGGAATCCGGTGGGGCGAAAACGCCATCTATTTCCGTCTTCGGCTCCAGAGATCGGACATCAGAGAGCCGAAAAGTGACACGTGGATGAATCAGACGCTCCCCGGCTCCCCCCCGTTCCCTCCTCGCTGTTCTCGTCTCAAACGACGCGTGGTTTGCCTCTTCGAGGCTCGCCGATTCTGCACCCTTAATGAACGATTCAATACAATGGACGACGGGACCGAATGCTCCTCGTTTTGCGTCACACAAAGCGGCTAATCAGTTCCCCGCCGGCCATTTTGTCAGAGGGGGGGGGGGACGAACGACCCCGTCTCGTTGGAGCGTTCCGTCGCGGAGATTTCGTGTCGCCCGAACGGAAACGTGGATTCGCACGCGCGAGAACCGACGTCGCCGAAAACGACGTCGGGATGAATCGTCGCCACGGCCGCCGCGGTTATTAAGCACTGCCTGAGATATTTCTCGCACGCGTCCCCGGTAGAAGCTTTTCTCAGGCCTCTGTCGTGAAGAAATGCACCCCGGTGATTTGTCGTGACGAACGAACGGTTGTTCGTTACGCGGTTCGTTATGCGGATGCTTAGTTTGAATGATATCGTGCTTTTGTCACTCGAGCTGCGACGAGAGATTTTTTTATCGCGCAAAATTTACGTTTGATATTTGCAATATTGTTAGTCGGTAGGACTTTTGTCAAGCATACGGTGCGTTTTGATATATAGCCTTTCGCTATATTATTAGACGCACTTTGACTTTTTAGTAGGATACAGATCGGGAGGGGAAGAAAGGCTGCTAATTTAACGTTTACTCGAATGATTTTCGGTGCTTTTGTACTCTGCAATCTTCGGAGATGTCGATTGCGGTCGTCAAAGGCCCGCGTCATCACGCACGGTACGCGCGTGCTCTCACGTATTTCAGCCACGTTTTTCACGTGCGCGCACTATATGTTAAACAGCGGAGAGTTCTGACGAGTTCTCCACTGGTCGCATGACAATGGCCCGGCTTTTCCGGTCAACGTCGGGTTAAAAGGAAGAGAAACAACGGTGTAACGACGAACATCGCCGGCATCGCGACGCCGCTAAGGCCTACCTCGTCGTCTTCGTCTTTTTCCTCGCGCTTCCGCGCGTAAATCCGTCCTTCGTGGAACCCCGTTTTCGACGCTCGAATTACTTCTTTCTCAAACTCCTGCGGCTTAGCTTTAGTTTCTTGCTCTCTCTCTCTCTCTCTCTCTCTCTCTCTCTCTCTCTCTCTCTCTCTCTCTCTCTNTCTCTCTCTCTCTCTCTCTCTCTCTCTCTCTCTCTCTCTGAAGAAGAAACGAACTGAAATGTTTACGAGACGTCGGGAACAGAAATTCGCGGAAGGACACGGCCGAGAGCTCTCCGAGCGTTTCTCCGCCCGGGCACCCCGAATGTCGGGGTTTCCGGAATTCACTCGCGGTGCGATCGCAGTGAAACGAATTCTCGCGCTTCCAGAGATTCCCTCTTACCTTCGTGACTGGATGAAAATTTCAAAACTCGCCGGAAAAACACGCCGTCGCACCGACGACGTGCAACGGTAAACCCACGTGCGATCGTCGGTGGAGGAAAAGAAGGGGGGGGGGGAGGAGTCGAGTAGTCCAGCGATCGATGTTAACTTGAATTTTAAATCGCACCTGGTTTTACACTTCGTCCGGGATGGAATTCCATCGTCTTGTTCCGCGACGTGTTCCGCCGATGCAAACCAATGCGGCGCTCTCATTACCGAGTCCCGATGCAAATTACCGCGTGATCGCATGTTGATTACATCGTCGCGTACATCGCGGCCGAAGGCGTCGTGATCGCGCGCGTCCGACATCGTTCAACGCTCCCCGAGAGAGAACGTCGGACGATTCTCTCCGCGCGACTTCGATCGGCCGTGACTTTGAGCGGCCAGCGTGTCAAGGTGACGAGGCTCGTGCATAGAGAGAAACCTAGACGACCGGTGTCGGCCGATCCGCGTGTTAATTGCGTGGGTTCGGCGAGCTCTCCGCGTCATAGGTCGGCGCTAAGAGCCGACTCGCGCTCAGGAGGACTCGAAGGTCGCGAGGATGAAGGGGAGGCTCGCGTCTCTGATCGACTTCTCGCGGCGGCGGGAGTGAAGATCCGTTTCACCGTGAAATGGTGAAATCGACACACGCGTTGATCGACACGCTGAATTCACGGGCGAATAATCCCCATCGAGCCCGGATCACCGGTGCATGTTAAAACGATACTTCGTTTGATTGTTCGTGATTTGACATTTATTTATTTGATTTATTTATCTACCTATGGGAATCGTACATGTCTTTCATACGATAGATTCAACATTATCACAATGAAGGGGAAAAGGGGAAAAAGAAAAAAAAAACAGAAAAAAAACAGAAAAGAAATGAGATAGAAGAGGAAAGATTATAAATTTATTTAAATTTATTTAAATTTAATTCAGATTTTATCAAGTATTCAGAGATAAATTTAAATCTATCCAAATGGTGTGTATAAAATCATTCATCAGGCAGATAAAACCCGTCACCCGCAAATGGGTGTCGGGATTTCTGTAGAGATTCACGTGTCACCCAGATACGGGGGGTGATACGGCGCTCAACATATTAAGCTGAAATAACGCGAAAATTATTTTCCTCGGATCTCGTCTGATAGTGTCGGTTGAACTGTTACGACACGGCGAATAGAACGTCTAGAACGGGACGAAGATGTCTTCGCAGGCCGAACATGATAAAGACTCGCGAATGAAATGTCCACGTACGTTTTAAATTGATGTATTAAATAAACGTCTCCGATATTGCGAGATGTCGGATTAATTTCTCTGCTCAACGAAACACCTCGGAGAAATATTCAGTTTCGTTCGAGAAAATATTGATGACTTGTATTTCCTTTAAAATGTGCGAGCGAAGAATCCTTCCTTGCTTCATGCCCGTCTCTCGAATCCTCGTCGTCCTCCTCGGATCTCTCTTAAATTTAAGAGAGAGACGTAGATAATTTCATCACCGGCGAGGCGTCTGCCGTAAAATTACACGATAGATTGGAAGAAGAAACTGTAGGAACTCGCGCTGCTTTCGCCAGAACATTACTCCCGCGCGATCGACCTGCTCCAACTCGACAACGAATCAATACTTTTCCAGCTGCGGCGGCAATTAGCAGACACCCTGCACGAGGTCGCTTTCTACGCTCGTGCTTTGCATTTCGCGCGGGAATCGAGCCCGCGTCTGCATAATTGCCGGGCGGACGTTAATTCTTCAACGAACAGTGCGTTTGCACGCACATGACGCGACATTGATTTCGCGAACGCAATGGAATCTCGATTTTCACGTCGGGAAAACCGCAGCGCCTCTCTGCATCCAATTTACGGAAGCTCCTCGCGCTCTAGCGTTGCGTAAATGAAAAAAACACACACACACACACACCCAACGCAAGCTCAAGTCTCAGATTTTTAGTCCCAAAAATCGGAGAAAAATTCCCGTTTAAGGCAGGACGAATTTCCAAGGCGATCTTGATGAACGCCGATCCTGAAAACGAACGAATGTTTACAAAAGAACATGCTTTCAGCATCCCCTCGAAGGAATAACAACGATATTCGCGATACCGTTGCGCACCTCATCCTCGATAGCTTTGCGTCGCGATCACGCCTGTGATTCGTCGACGTCGCGTAGAAGGGTGAGACCAGGGTGCACTTAACACACGCAGATGCACGCTGACTCGAAACTCACATTCGATATCTCGGGAGTCCTGCACGACGTCATCTCGCAAGTCAGCTGGTCGGTTCAACGCTGAAGCTCCGCGCGATACGACGCGATCCGGACAAATTCGCCGGACTTTTTCAGCTGAATATCCCGGAAGTCGAGACAGTGATTGACCCGCGATTGAAGTCGCGGAGAGCTGCGTCGAAGGGTGAGGCAGAACCAAAAGAGAGAGAAAGAGAGAGAAAGAGAGAGAAGGAAAACACGACCGACAGAGAGAAAACGAGAGATAGAGAGACGAGAGCGACGTGTTGGTGCGGCGGGCCAATGAACGGTCGAGGGATGGAAGGAAGGAAGGAAGGAAGATGGCCCTGTGCGCGGAGGAGAGCCGTGCGTGCGGATCAATACCGATAGTTGCACCTATATAGGACGTTGTAGACGCGGGCTCTTGGGTGTGTCCGAGGGATCTCTCGCGCAGCGTCCCGAAAAAGAGAGAGAGAGAGAGTATCCCACGTCTTCGTCATCGTTCTAATTATCATCGTCGTCGTGATCGTCATTTCGTCCTCCTCCTCCTCCTCTTCCTCCTCCTCCTTCTCCTCGTCATTCTCGTCGTGATCGCGCGTGCGTCTCTAAAGCGGCGCGTCAGCCGGCGCTCTTCCGGGGCCTCATTCTCACCCGTGGTCGATTCCTTCGGAGGGACATCGAACCCCGGGGTTCATTAAACCCGACCGAGGAGCACGATGGACCTCCGTGGGGGGGCCTCCTCGCATCACCCACTCGGAAAGTCATCCTCGCGTGGAGCCGTCAGCTGACGGAGCTGCGAACGCACGCACGCATGCACGCACGAACGCACACTCCGAAGCGCCAGGATTCCTTCCTCGGGATCTCTCTGTATCGGGAAATTGTAAAATACACGGCATGGACGTGCGTCCGTGTGTGAGTTATCGGAAGGGAAACGCGAGGAGAGGGGGGGGGGGAGGGAGATTCAAATCGATATTCTGCGTCAATTGAGGCGGAACAGAAAGAGGAGGAGGGTGACGCTTCTTCGTTAATCGACAGGAAGGACATTTGTTTGTGCCGAGCGAGATGGAAAGGCGTGGGCGCGCGTAGCCCCCCGATGACGTGCCTGAAACTGACGATGATCTCAATAAAGATCTCGCGCGTCGAAACGTCTCGCTCGAAACGTCTCCGCTGGGCACGAGCCTCTTTCGGACTTCGCGAGTTTTGCCATCTGCCGTTCTCGCAGTGGCCAAACTACGGGTCTCTTTTCTTTCCGTTCGAACAACAGGAGTTTCAGGATCTTTCTCTCTGATTTTTATCTTTACGTTTTATTTCTGTCTTCATTTTTCACACCTCTGGTGTCATTGTAGCTCCGCTACAACGTCCTTAGAGGAAATGTCCTACACGGGGAAAAAATGTTATTTGATGGAAACAAGTGTTATTATTCAGAGGCAATAATGTTTGATTTTCAATAAAAGAAAAATTTACTTCATCACATGAGTTTTGAATTGTGATATTGATTTTTTTCTGTGTAGCACGAAAATAAAAGCATTTCTCCATTCTCGATTTATTTCTCTCTCTCTCTCTCTCTCTCTCTCTCTCTCTCTCTTTGATTTTATTAACATAATGCTAATGGAACAAAAGCTCGCGGTACCGTTGCGATACCCCCTAATCGGGATACAGTGCTTCGCGCGAGTCACGAAGTTTTAACGAACGGTATCCAGAAGTCGATTACCGGGGCGCGGAGATTAACGACCTGGGATAACCGCCGGTGATTATCGCCGGACTTTCGGGAATTTATGCCGGCTTATTGGAAGGATGTACCGTAACACACGTAGCGTTCGCGTTCCCTTTTCTTTTTTGCCGAATCGTTCATTAAAGGGCTACGCCGCGGGACCTGCCGTAATACGTTACATTTTTCCCCTCGAGCCGCTTGTTAGGGAGATGTACCGTAATACGTGACGGTTTTTCTTCTCTTCCTATCTTTAAGCCACTCATTCGAGTTCAGGGCTACTTGATATCGCGAAGTAACGAATCAGTCTCGGGCCATGCTCGGATGGACATTACGGGCTGTCCTAAGGAGAGACGCGGTCCGAAATTTAATTCCGACGAAAAGCTCGGACGATTTCCCGACGGCGAAATATACACGTTCTAAGCGAGCGTGTTGCGTAAAGATCTGATCGCGAAAGTTCGACGAGAGAACGTGGACGTAGTCTTCGCGAGTATGTAGACCCATCCGCGATTAATCGGCCAGAAAACGCAGTTACACGGAATGACTTCGCTATTATTGGAGCCGAAACCGGTCAGGACTATTAATATTTTCTTACTTGAAAATACTGACTTCCCCGCGCGCGCGCACGCACACACGTATCGTCGAAGCGTAACGTAGAGAAAAACGGACTTGCCGACAGGAGGTTCGAACTTTATAAAAATATCGTGTTTCAAGCTGACAGCCTGATGATCCGCGCTCGGACGGCTTAATCCGCGCCGAACGCCGTGAATCTTCGCGGCGATCTCGATACACGAGTTAACGCGATTTATCGCAACGATAAGATATATCCAGGTTATACACGGGAAATGCATTAGCCTTATCCGTCCTTTTTCAATATCTCGACGAACAAATAACAGAAAGCACCGCTCGGGAAGCGAGAAAGCTCGATTCAACACCGAGGCTTCGGAGACTCGAAATTCGAATGTCGGAGCTTCCTTTGGAAGAAAACACCAGCCCTGCTCGCGTTTTCCGATCAAGACGCCGTTAAAATCTGAAGAGATTCCGAAGAAAAGAAATCTACGGGCGAACTGTCAACAGGTCGAACGAGACACAAGCTCGTCGCATATTCGCAACGCGTGGAATTCCTCTCCTAAGAAACGCAGCGAATGCTCTTTCCGTCGCTTCTTTGTGTTCGAGGGAGACAAGCGATGAATTCTTGCTCGCCGGGAGGCAATTAAATCCGCCGGCGATCGTGCAGCGTTCGCAATTAACGGTTGAGGCGTCGGGAGCGATCGCGCGAGGAGAATCCCCGGGTGCACGGACGGCCTCGTGTAACTTTATGCACATTAAAAAGCAGGCCTTCCTACTCTCTCGGGCGAGCACTCGTTTCCGAAAATAGCCGGGAAATATTAATAGCCGCGTTAGATCCTCGGTAGGAACGGACGGAGAAAGAGGAGCGGGAGCGGAGGAGAGGGTCGCGCGCGATATTTTGGAACGCCATGATCCTATAGTTGTTACGCGCCGCGTCGCACACTAAATTCGGTTGCAGGCGGAATATAAGAAAGGCCTGCACGATCGTCTCCACGGCGAGCGGACACGGCGCGTATCTCCGTCTCTGCCTTCTCCCGTGCCTGGTCTTGTCGATTAAAACAGCAGGTAATCACGCGCCAGGCTCGCGCGTCTGCTCCGAGATTACGCTCCGTGTGTTCACGAGGTGCCTTATCAATTTTACGATCAACATTTCCCAATCAGAAGGCTCGTCTTCTATTTTCTCGACTAATTCTCGCGACTGGCTTTCGATTTTCCCCCCGAGCGGCCAAAATCGCCGTTCGTGACCGAGTCGTTTAAGCCGGCGGCCGAGAGCTAATCTTCTTGAATTTCCTTTCTTAATCGTACTCATGCCCGTTTCCACACTGAGAGGAAAATTGCCTAAAGAATAAGAAATATTTATTTCTGATGAGTGCCGATAACATATTTACTTAAAAGTCGAAATTCTTTTATTCAAATATAGAATAAACGACTTCTTTTTCTTTCCACGTAAAACTACATGTTTAAGAGAAATATATATTTTCTCAATTGAAGACATGTTTTCTTTCAATATAAAAATATATGTAAGTAAATATATTATTATATCAACACTAACTGAATAAATATTTCTTTATTTTTCAGACACTTTTTCCCTCAGTGTGCATCGATGTCGATTAAACCTTAACCCGAGGTCAAGCTATCTCCGGACGAAGGCTCAAGCTCAGGTTAAAGTTGCATATTTTCAGATATTTTTTCTCCGTATAAAAATATCTATACATTAATATAAATAAATATGTTATCAATGTGCACCGAATAAATATCTGACATTTTTAAGACATTTTCTAACACATTTCTTCGGCCGCACCAATGTCGATTAAACTTTGAAACCTAGGTTAAGTTATCTTCGGAGATAGATCTTAAGCTCAGGTTAAAGTTTAATCGACGTCGATAGAAACGGGGATTGATCGAATAATAGCCAAGCATAATCAAACGCCGGATATAAGGGAGAGCCGAGCGCCAAGAGTCTCGTTTGCGCAAAGTAGCGTGCGATTCTCACAGACCTTCGATCACACTCGTTAGATATTTCGTATCCCGGCGCTTTCATAGTTTTACGGAATTAATCGGTCAACCGATCGCACGACGAAGCGCATCCTTTCTCCCAGTATGTCCCCGCCCGGAGGCACGCGAGGACGCTGTTAATAACGCGGAGTGGCCGATACGTTCTTGGTGCCGTCGTTACCTTCCGTCGTCATCGTTTCGGCCGCTGTTTCATGACGAAAGCGCCCGCACCGAACGGGTGTCATCCGAATGATCGCGGTGTCAAGTTCGCGCCTCTCGGCACATTGTTCCTACGAGCGGACGGACGGACGGACGGACGGTGTGTGACGCCGAGGGGATTTTCATTTCCAGGGGGACCGACACGCTCCGCTATATTCTATTTTCGAGACGGGCGGACTCTCCACGCGCAAGACGGCGCAACAAGACGGCAACAGCCGGCAGAGAAAAGGACGGGAGGGAGGGAGGGAGAACTGGCGAATAAGAAGTAGCCGAAATATTGCCCGCGAGAGAATCCGCGAACCGAAATAAACCTCCGCGCGGAGGAAATTTATTTTCTCGCGCGCGCGCGCTTGGCGAGTATCGCGACACTCTTTGACCCCTTTGGAGCACCATCGTGGGTGTCGAAGAGCAGTAGCACCGAACGGACCTTCGCTGGCGCGAGAGAATATAGCCGCGAGAGGAAAGAGAGTTGTGCGACTCACCAGCGTAAGGACCGGAGGGTGAGCTGTTGTCCTTGTTGCCCTTCCCATCCTTGTTGCCGCTTCCTGCAACAGCAAAGGACAGTTCGAAATGACGACACCGTGCGGAAATATACATATGTACAAAAAAGAAGATATGTGTATATACGTATTAAGGATGAGAGAGGGGGAGAGAGAGAGAGAGAGAGAGTGGAGAAACATATAGAAAAAAAGATATACCGATATACATTAGGTGTGTAAATTAATTCGGTGTCTTTCGTAATACACAATTCTGTAACGAGCATCTCAATTTGAAATATGTTTCCGCTCAATTATGGTTTTAAAGAACTGCCATGCTTTGCCATGCTTATGCTTACAAAACACCACGCAACAGTATTGCTATATACAGTAATAGAGATTATGTAGATAATTAAAATTGCACATCTTCCATTGATAAACAAATCGTAATTTTTGGCGAAGAAAGCACTGAATTAATTTACACACCAGATACATTAAAGATATACTCCTTAAATGTAAACCCGAAACAGGCACACAGGGGGGGGCTACGTACATGGCCAGGAGTGAAATTTTACCAAATTCCGTTAGTTTTAAGTGTCTCTAAGAAAATCTATGAATGAATACGTCAAAGTTCAACTAATTACTAAAATCTATGAATGAATACGTCAAAGTTCAACTAATTACGAGAAGGGGGGGGGGAGAAGAGGGGAATATACAGCGTAATGCACGAGAATATGCCAAAATGCATCGATGAAAACGGCAAAACGAGCAGGAGCGGGAAATCATGCAGAACCATTCCCACTCGCGTGAACGGTTTGCAGCAAAAGTTCTTCGTCTCGCGACGTGGTTAACCGATCAATCGTATCAGTTGGACGCTTCAATTGCCAGTGCGAGCGAAACGTTGACAGACGCGACAGTCGAAGGTGAAAGAGCGCGGACGCGTAATAGCGCATTGAGATGTATGCGTATCCTCGACGTGCGCAGATTCCGCGAGGGTCAGATGAATCGGCCGAGAGATAAGGAGTAATAACGCATTAGGCCAATTACGCGGAACGGCACGGTCGTATTATGTCGCGTAGCTGATTTCGAAACGTGATAGATGTGCATCAAAAGAATACGGTAAAAGGACAACGGCAGATTAATATTATTGTAAGAATGTAGAAATTTTGGGGGAAATATGTCGGCCTACACAGTGTGTCACAGAATGAATATACCCGCCTTCGGTAGGCCCGTCGAAACGTCAGATGACACAAAAGATCGATTATCGGGAAGGTGTGAAAGGGGGGGGGGGGNGGGGGGGGGGGGATCAATAGGTACGGTTCTTTCCCGCTAGTTGATAAATCGCGGACCTATCCCGCTAAGTCGGTCAGTCGGAAATGAAATCCGCGAGGTTCGAAGGGAGGCTCACTTCCGCCTCGTCGCCCTCTTACATCGATCTCAAGCGGGTGTCTGGATTCTTTCCGTCCTGATCTCTCCTGACTTTTAGTTCACATTGTGACTCACAGCTTGTAGACGGACGATTCTCGAAGGTAGCCTGTATGGTATCGTTCGTCACAATTCGACGACGAGTCACCGTCAGAGACGATTGTATCGTTGCCATCTGCCACACTTAATTGCAATTAATTCCTCTCAACGCGCTATCGGCTAGATTTCGCAATTACGCACGACAATTGTAAAGAGATATGCTTAACGCTTTCTCGCCTCTCTTGCCGATCTCGAGTAAACGTGCTTTCTTGTTCTATTGATTTTACGTGCAAATCGTACCCCGCTTTGGCACATTTTGCGAATGCAAGTAGGGCACGACGTTCCTCGATTTTGCGCGAGTTCTTTCGGTTCACCGGAGGTCGGGCCGAGGCCAAAGGTAGAGAAGAGAATCTTCCATAAGACAGAAGCGATGAAGGAACGACGACGACAGGATCCAGAGACTCGACCGTGAGGGGGGAGGGGGAGGTGTTGGAAGAAAGAGAGGAAAAATGAGGAACGATCCATACCTGGGGAATAAGGACACGAGTGGCGGACTGGTCGTGGAGCGAATTGCCGTTCGGAGAATACCAGTCGGGGCCGACCGTACGCGCCGATCGTCCGTCCTTAACGAGCCCTAACCTACGCGAAAGCGCAACCTCTTCAGGTCTCGAGTCCATCACCGACCTGTCTCGACATTTGCCCCCGAAGCACCGCCGGTGCATTGAAAAAACTCACTCAGAGTTGACTCAAACGAAATTTCGTTCGGATATGGGCGAACAGATATTTTGGTTGGTTGTGAGAACCAAAATTGGATTATCTGAATTAAAGGTATGAATTGTAAAAAATCGATTGATGAGGGTTTCAATATTCTGTCGAATATTATACTAACTTCTCCCTTGAATCTTGAATTTTACAGATTTAATTTTAATTCCGTTTTAAAGCTACAAATGCTCCCGATATTTCGATTATTCAGTTGAATATGTTGTAGAATTCAGAGCTTAATACAGGTCGAAAAATTCGACCATCGAAATGCAATTTGTCGACTGCATTTGTGGGACTGCGGTCGGGACCTCGAGACTTCTTCGCGTCAAACGCACGGGAAGATTAGAAGCGAGCCGATATAAGTCTGACATGACATTCAAGGCTGTGCCGGCCACCAGGGCCAATTTGAGTGTCATCGATGACACGTGTTACGTGACTCGAGGACGTGGGGGAGATAAGTCCGCGCAATTAGTCGAATTAAATTAACGATAAGTCCGCGTCACCGATAAGGCGTTTTCCTGGCGCGCGTCCTTTTAAATTGGTGTCTCCCCCCCCCCCCTCCTTAATGAAGTTACACGCTTATGCAGACTATGGTAGAGAATTACCCGCGCGTCGCTCGAATTCGTTATCGACTTTTTCTCCCGTGGAGATGCAAAGGGAGACGGTTGATTAGCGCTGCGTGCTTAGTAGTGCTTGACGTTGAATTTTAATTGCCGATTTAAAGGATGCGAAGTAGCGTCACCTCTCATGAAAAATCTGATTACGTCTCGATAACGCAACGTTATCTCTCTTAACTTCCGTGATAAATAATGCTGAAAGACATAATTTCTCGCTTCTGACGTCATTAATCAAGATGACCGTAGCGAGGAAACGGGAGACTTAATCGAGAGAAATCGATATTCTGAAACTTCGCCCGCACAGAAACGCGTTATTATTTCACGTCGCTCGGAGATAGTCTAATTAAAAGCGAACGCGAGGGGTAACGGAGGGGAGAGGAGAGTCTGGCCTGTCTTTGCGTGAGGGAAAAATGAAACCAAATAATGGAGCGAATTGGCAGTTCGATGGCTCGTTAATGTAAATTTATGCGAATTTGAGGACCGCCCGGCGAATCGTTCCCCTCTCTCTCTCTCTCTCTCTCTCCTTCTTTCTCCCTTTTTTTCACCGTCGTCGCACCGGGTGCATTATGCACGCGGCCAGACATATGATTGGCCGAGCGTGACGAGATAGTTTGCCGGCAACTTGTTGGAGGAGAGCGCGGCATCAGCTGCAATTTCGCAAGGCTACCTCGCGCCGAGGGTTGGAGATAGTGAGAGTGGTCGAGGACAATGACGCGTGTGCCGCCGACGTTGGTCGTCGTCCGGGGGAGAGCGGTGGGTGGTGGCGGTGGTGGTGGTGGTAGAGCAGAGGTGGCGGAGGTGGTAGCGACGGTGGTGGTGGTTGTTCACCCTCTGAATAAATCAATAAGTCCCCGGCCCCAACGCCCGATGCACGCGCTCTTCGACAGTACACGGCTCGGAATACAAATTTCGCTCGCGCGCGGCGGCGAACGGCGATGAAAAATATCACCGCATCTGTATCTGCGCGCATTTCTTTCCTTCGTTCTTTTGTTTTAAATGATTTCTCTCGCGAGCGCGACGTGTCAGCTGTCGCAGCGGATTCCGCAAAATCGGAGTCGGTCTCTCTCTCTCTCTCTCTCTCTTTCTCTTTCTCTTTTTTTCTTTCTCCCTCTATCATTTGTCGCCGATATTAATAGTTCTCTCGGACTTTTTTCTATTCTTAAGATCGATCGGAGGGAGAGAGTGAGAGAGAGAGAGAGAGAGAGAGAGAGACTGATGTGTATCTTTCAGAGGTCGATTTTGCCTTGATTCGTCAAGGATCTCCCGCGTCGTTCGCGTGCTTTATCTCGGGACGTCGTCTTAATCGTTAATCCACGGCTGTTCCGAGACACGAAGGAGAGCGCGCGATAATTATGTGACGTGCGGGGAACTTCGTGGCGCGTGACGATTGAGCGGAATTCATCAATTTTTCTCCAAGTACGCGGTCTTTTCTCGCGTCTTTCCGCATCTCGCTCTCGGGGGAACGAATCGACGGGATCCTCGGACAAAGGATCGTACGTACGAGTGAAGTTCGTCAGGGGATATCGCAGGATGAAGGCCTTGAGGATAAGCGGGGGCCCGTTTCCGCAACATGTTGGGCCCAGCTGGCGTTCAGAGAATTCCAATGACTATTCTCGCGCGCCGAGAGAGAAAGAGAGAGAGAGAGAGAGAGAGAGAGAGATTCTCGCTCGCTCACTCTACCTTTTTTTTCTTTCTTTCCAGCGATGGAAACCTCTTCGGACGTCTGTACGAAGGATCAAATTTAATACGCAACGACAGTCAAATAGAATGCGCATACGCGGGGCTGCATGTCGAACGAAATTTCACGTAACCTTTTTAAGTACGCGTATGTAACTCCGGTCGCGGCCGTGCGCGATCGATTCCGACTTACGCCTTACGAGCTCCCTATGAATAAAACAGCGCGCACAGTCGCACAATTTCCGGACTCCCGCCGAAGGAGAGAACGGCGGAGAGGGAAGGGCGAATACGCGCTTATCATTGTGTATTCGGGCGTGCTGATAAAGATCGCAGAGAAGACGCGCGCGCGACATCCCCGACGGCAGATGCGATGCCGTGAGTGTCACTCGGGGACGAGCCGTCTGAGATACGGAAGGTCGGATTTCGCCCTCCCGCGTCTCACTCTTGTAATTGTATTTTCAATTAAATCTGTCCGGGGAGCTCCATGGCACGGTTTCACGTCGTTGTTGAATATGAATTTTACAACGAAGACGAGGAACGCATACTGGG